CCAAGACGCTCCAAGAGGGCCCCAAAACGGCTCAAGAGGGCCAAAAATCGCCCAAGAAGGCCCTACAACGGCCCCAAGACGGGTCCAAGAGGGGGAACACGAACTGTCAATTCGAGCCTTCTGACACAAGAGGCCCCTAGGAGGCCCCAAGAGGCCCCCAAGAGAGCCCAAGAGGCCTCCTAGAGGCCCCACGATGCCCCACGAGGCCCCCAAGAGACTCCGAAAGAGGCCCAAAGAGGCACCCAAACGGCCCTCAAGAGGTTTCAAAACTGCCTTCAAGAGGCCCCCGAGAGGCCTCTCACGAGAGGCCTCCCGCGAACATCTGAGAGGCCTCTAACCCACAACCCAGGCACAGTGGCGGGATGGGCCGAAGGCCAATCGATCCGCCGCCCCCTGTCGATTCATCGCAGGGGATCCTGGCGTGCTAGACGATTTCGGTTTTGGTCTTTTTCCAAAAGAATTCTCCCAATGGGTTTCGGCCCGTCCCGCCGGCCGCCCCCCAAGACCCGTAAGACGCACGCGCAATCGCCCAATCCCAATTCTTCCTCCAAGACTGCCCAACACGGCCTCCAAGATGGTCACGTTGGCCCAAGATGGCCTCCAAGATGGTCCAACATGGCCTCCAAGATGGCATCCAAGTCCACCCAAGATGGTCCAAGACGGCCTCCGAGACGGCCCAAGAGGGTCCAAGATACCTACAAGTTCGCCCAAGAAGCCTTCAAGACGGCCCAAGACGGCCCAAGAGGCCTCCAAGAGGTTCTCCAGGAGGGCCCGAAGAGGCCAACATCAGTTTCCTTGAGTTGTTGAAGGATGTTGACATTTCCTTCTTTTCGGCCTTCCGACGGCCCAAGACGGCCCAAGAGGCCCCCAAGATCGCCCAAGAGGCCCCCAAGAGGGCCCCATGACGGCCCAAGTGGCCTCCAAGTTGGCCCCAAGAGGGCCCCAAGACGGCCCAAGAGGCCTCCAACACGCCCAAGATGGCCTCCAAGACGGCTCCGAAGCGCCCCAAGAGGGTCCCCCGTTGGCCCAGAAAGCCCCCCAAGACGGTTCCCGACAGCGTCAGACGTGCCAGGAACCCACCAAGATGGCCGAAGTTGGCTCGAAGCTGGCCCAAGACGGCCCAAGAGGCCCCCAAGAGGGCCTCCAGGAAGGCCAGAAGAGGCCAAAAACCTTGATGTTCCTGAGGTTTTCGACGGATTTTGACATTTCCTTCTTTTCGGCCTTCCGACGGCCCGAGACGGCCCAAGAGCTCCCAAAGATCGCCGAAAGATCGCCCAAGAGGCCTCCAAGACGGCCAAGATGACCTTCAAGATGCCCACGTGTTCCCCGAAGGCTTTCCAAACAGATTCGGGGAACACATGGTCCGATGGCTTGGCAGGTCTGGCCTCAACGTTCGGCCACATGGGCGCTTCCAAAAAGGCAGGGGGCGGCGGTGGTTCGCCGTAGGCGTCTTCGATCCGCCGCCCCCTGTTGATTTATCACAGGGGTGCCCGGCGCGTTGGACTTCTTACGATTTGGTATTGGTTCTTTTCCCAAAAATCTCTCCCCGCGCGGGGCTTCGGCCCGTCCCGCCGGCTACCCGAAGGGGCCGCAAGGCGCGGAATTCGCCAACCCAAATTCCCCAAGACGGCCACGATGGCCCGAGATGGGCTCCAAGATGCCTTCAATACGGCCAAGATGCCCTCCAAGACGGCCAAGATGCCCCCACGATGCCTCCAAGACGGCCCAAGATGCACCCGAGACGGTCTAAGATTGCCTCAAAGATGGCCCACAACGGCCCCAAGAGGCTCCCAAGAGGTTTCCAAGACGGCCCGAAAGGCGCTCAAAATGTTCTCCAGGAAGGCCCGAAGAGGGAACAATCATTGAGTTGCCTCAGGTGTTTGAAGGATTTTCGAAATTTCTTTCTTTCGGACTTCCGACGGTTCAAGACGGCCCAAGAGGTCCCCAGGAGCCCCAAGATCGCCCACGAGGCCTCCAAGATGGCTTTATGACGGCCCAAGGAAGCGCCCAAGACGGCCCCAAGAGTGTTCCAAGACGGCCCAAGAGGCCTCGAAGACGCCCAAGATGGCTGTCAAGAAGGCCCAGAAACGCGCCAAGACGGCCCCGAGACACTCCAGAGGGGCCCCCAAGACGGCCTCCGACGGCGTCAGTCGGGCCAGAAACGCCTCAAGACAGTCAAAGAGGCCCCAAGAAGCCCCCCAAAGCCCCCAAGAGCCCCAAGGAGGCCCCCCAAAGACCCGCAGGAAGCTTCCAGGAGGCCCCAAGAATGATCCAAGAGACCCCCACAGATTCCTTCGCCTCTTCTTCCTCCTCCTCCTCCTCCTCCTCCTCCTCCACCTCCTCTTCCTTCCTCATATTATTCTCCCTCGGCCCAAGATGGCCTCTGAGACGGTCAAGATGGCCCAAGATGACCCCCAATATGCCTCTAAGACAGCCAAAATGGCCTCCAAGACAACTAGGATGGTCCACATATGCCTCCAAGACGGCCCAAGATGCACCCAAGACGGCCTAAGATAGCCTCAAGATGGCACAAGACTGCCAAGAGGCAAGGCCTCCAACACAGCCCAAGAGGCCTCCAAGAGGTATCACAGGAAGGCCCGAAGAGGCCAACATCATGAATAATTTTCTTAAGGTTTCTAGAACGGATTTTGGCATTTGCGCTGCTTTTAGACGGCCCAAGACGGCCCCCAAGGTGGCCCCAAGATCGCCCCAGAGGCCTCCAAGCTGGCCGAAGGACGGCCCAAGAGGCCCCCAAGACGGCCCCAAGAGGGCCCCAAGGCGGCTCGAGAGGCCTCCAAGACGCCCAAGATGGTCGCCAAGACGGCACTGGAGCACCCCAAGAAAGCCCCAAGTCGGCCCAGAAAGACCCCCAAGACGGCTTCCGACGGTGTCAGACGGGCCAGGAGGTCATCAAGACGGCCCAAGATTGCTCGAAGATTGCCCACGACGGTCCAAGACGCCACCAAGAGGTCTCCAAGACGGCCCAAGAGGCCCCCAAGAAGGCCTCCAGGAATGCCCGAAGAGGCTAACTTCATTGATCAGGTTTTCGAAGGATTTGAGCGTCTGCTTCTTTTCGCCCTTCTGACGGCCCGGCGGTCCAAGAGCCCACAACGATCGCCTCAATATCGCCAAAGAGGCCTCCAAGATTGCCGAATGACGGCCCAAGAGGCCCCCAAGACTGTCGCAAGAGGGCCACAACATGGCCCGAGAGGCATCCAAGACGCCCAAGATGGTCGCCAAGACGGCACTGGAGCACCCCAAGAAAGCCCCAAGTCGGCCCAGAAAGACCCCCAAGACGGCTTCCGACGGTGTCAGACGGGCCAGGAGGTCATCAAGACGGCCCAAGATTGCTCGAAGATCGCCCCCGACGGTCCAAGACGCCACCAAGAGGTCTCCAAGACGGCCCAAGAGGCCCCCAAGAAGGCCTCCAGGAATGCCCGAAGAGGCTAACTTCATTGATCAGGTTTTCGAAGGATTTGAGCGTCTGCTTCTTTTCGCCCTTCTGACGGGCCGAGACGGTCCAAGAGCCCACAAAGATCGCCCCAATATCGCCGAAGGGGCCTCCAAGATGGCCGAATGACGGCCCAAGCGGCCCCCAAGACGACCCCAAGAGGGCCTAAGATGGCCCGAGAAGCCTCCAAGTCGCCCAAGATGGCCTCCATGCCGGCCGGCTCTGGAGCATCTCAAAAGGACCCTAAATCAGCCAAGAAAGACCCAAAGAAGGCTTCCAACTGCGTCAGACGGGCCAGGAGTCCCCGAAGACGGCCCAGGATGGCTCGAAGATGGCCAGGAGGCCCCCCAGGTTTTCAAGACGGCCCAAGGGGCCCCCCAGAGGGCCTCCAGGAAGGCCCGAAGAGGCCAACGTTACTGATTTCCCTTGGCCGTTTGAATGATTTTGGCATTTGCTTCTTTTCGGCCTTCCGACGGCACGAGACGGCCCACGAGCCCCCCAAAGTCGCCCAAAGATCGCCCAAGAAGCCCCCAAGATGCTCCCAAAACGGCCCCAAGAGCCCCCAAGACGAGAGGGCCCCAAGGCGGCCCGAGAGGCCTCCAAGACGCCAAAGATGGCCTCCATGACGGCCCCAAGTTGGCCCAGAGAGACCTCAAGACGGATTCCGACGGCGTCAGACGGGCCAGGAGGCCCCGAAGACGGCCCAGGATGGCTCGAAGATGGCCCAAGAGGCCCCCAAGGTCTCCAAGACGGCCCAAGAGGCTCCCAAGAGGGCCTCCAGGAAGGCCCGAAGAGGCCACAAGACGGCCCGAGAGGCCTTCAAGACACCCAAGATGGCCTCCAAGACGAACCTGAACACCCCAAGAGGGCCCCAAGTCGGCCCAGAGAGGCCACTAAGACGGCTTCCGACGGCGTCAGACGGGCTAAAAATGCCCTAAGACGGCCAAAGAAGCCCCCGAGAAGCCCCCGAGAAGCACCCGAAGGCCCCCAAGAGGCCCACGGAGGCTCCCAAGATGCCTCCAAGAGGCACCCAGGAAGCTTCCAGAAGGCCCCAAGTGTGCCCCCATAGGCTTCCAAGATGCCAAGATGCCCCTTCCTCCTTGTCCTCCTCCGCCTCCTCCTCCTCCTCCTCCTCCTCCTCCTCCTCCTCCTCCTCCTCCTCCTCCTCCTCCCCCCTCCTCCCCTCCTCCTCCTCCTCCTCCTCCTCCTCCTCCTCTCTCCTCCCTCCTCCCTCTCCCTCTCCCCCTCTCCCTCTCCCCCTCCTCCCTCTCCCTCTCCCCCTCCTCCTCGTCCTCCTCTCCTCCTCCCTCCCTCCTCCCCCTCCCCCTCCCCTCCCCCCCCCCCCCCCCCCCCCCCCCCCCTCCCCTCCCCCCCCTCGCCCTCGCCCTCGCCCTCGCCCTCGCCCTCGCCCTCGCCCTCGCCCTCCAGCGCCCCCTTCGTCCTGCTCCTCCTCCTGCTCCTCCTCCTCCTCCTCCTCCTCCTCCTCCTCCTCCTCCTCCCCAAATGTACCCCGAAGGGTTTCTACAACGGTTGGGGGAGCACACGGTCTGTTAGCTTGGCAGAGCTCTCGCCACAACACTCGGCCACATGGGCGATTCCAAAAGGCAGGGGGCGGCGGTGACTCGCCGTAGGCGTCTTCGGTATATAGTTCTTTGACGGCCCCGAGGCCCCGCGAGGGTCCCAGGGGCAGAATAATGCCACAGACCTCGCTTCGTGATGTGTTCAAGACGCGAGCACCCCGGGGAAGACCTGCCCGAAAGCCAGAGCCGTGCCTGAACCCAGAATGGCTCTACTTGCTTGCGTGATAGATCGACCCCCGACACCGACAACAAACACGACTGTTGGACAGAACAAGACATCGACGAGTCGCCAGGTTGCTCGTGGCCGGTCACGTCCACATTGGCAGAGCGGGGGAGGGAGCTGGGAAAGGGGCATGCTGCTCCATGACAAACACCTTGCCACGATCTAAAGCCGCCGCAATCGCCGCGGCGACCTCCAAAACCGACCCGGAGGCGTGGCCCGGGGTCGGATATCACCACGCAACAAGCAGTTCTGATCTCGGCGCACTGGCGCTGCGTTCCCCCTCCCGGCAGCCTGCTCCTCCACAGCCACGCGTTCTTCTGCCTGGGTGCAGGGCGGTCGACAGAGAGGAAAAGAACAAGGGGCCCCGAGGGGGCACAGCCAGATCGTCACAAACTTAATGATGTTCCATGCTATTTCCAGGGTTTTCCTCTCTCCTCCCCCATGTCCCATGTTGTCCCTTATATATTTTAATGATGATCAGCGCCTGTTGGGTCTGTGTTGGCCTTTCCCTCCTGGAAGACGAGCACAGCAGGAGGACAAATTCGGGCGAGGATCCCTTCGGGAACGTCTGAGCGCTGGCGGGCCCGAAGAGGCGTCGGGCGCCGCGGCCGTGGCAGAGTGCTCCAGGACGCTCCGGCAGCTGGATCGACTCGTCCTCATCCTGGGCCTGACCTGTCGGGCTGCAGTCGGGGCGTTGACCTAGGGAACCCGAAACGAGGAACGAGGCCCCTCTTTTCCACGAGTGGAACTTCGATTTCGCATCGAGAACCTAAGAAGAGAATCCAGGGCCAGCTGCGAAACAATGAAGGAACGCGGAGCCCCTCCCCAACGAAAAGGGTTCCTTCTTCAGGGCCCCGACCGTAGAGGGGGGGCGGGACTGGGACGCGGACCGAAGTGGTGCAAACCATCCACAGAGCTGCGATCGCCTTGCGAGCGCACGGCCGCGCCGCCCTCTGCCTCCCTCCGGCCACCTGCGCCTCCCTCGAGGCTGCGGAGACGCGTATCCGAAGTCCTCTCAACCTGACGTCTGTAGGGCGACGAAATCTATACATATCCACTGCTCCCAGGCCAGGCCCATCCTCAACCCCGCAGCGGTGTATACGCACGCCCTCCTGGCTTGGCCAGGAGGGCGCATACACAGCTCCTGGGTTCAAGATGGGCATGGTCAGGGAGCAGTGGATATGTATAGATTTCGTCGCCCGAGTCTGGGAGAGCAGGAGCAGCATCAGCGCCACGCCGGCCCCATCGGCGCGCTGCTGCTGAAGGCGTGCCCAGTCCTCCGACAGAATGCGGGTGGGCAACGCGCAGAGGCTCAGGGACGACGCGCGTGTCACTGGTACTCTCGACGTGCCCCTTCCGAGCTACGCCGCCGCATGCCGCTGGGATCCCCCTGCATATAATATTATCGGAAGCCGTCTCTCGGGCCGGGCGAAAGGGGGGGATAGCGAAAGGGGTGTTTGAGAATCAGCTCGAGTAGCTGATTTTCCCGGCGCCTCTCGGCGCCGGGAGGCACCCATGTATCGAGAATTAGGCCCCTCGGTGGGTCCAAAACCAGCTGCATGAAGCAAATTTCGCACCCCCCCTTTCCCGATCCCCCCCTCTTTCGTCCGGCCCGACTATCGGAAGCCGTCTCGCAACAACACAACTTGGGGCGCGGGCCCGCGGCCGTGGCCGGAGCACTGCTTCGCCCAACCCGCACGGGGTCGGGGATCTTAGAACCCGGGTCAATCCAGACCCGGGTCAGCAGGAACCAAAAAACTGCAATGCAAGAAAAAAAGCTGCAACGCAGGTCTTCGCAAAACCGGGTCAACCAATATGCGCGGCCGCCTCGCGGCCACGAGCGGCTCGCTAACCCGGGTCAGCCAGAGGGGGTCTTCGCAGGATCCTGCAGCATCCGGTGTCCTGGCTGACCCCCGTTTGCATTGACCTCCGTCTCAAGGCTCCCGACGGGGGGGGTCCCACCTCCTCCGGGGAAGGGCCACGACGAACCTCACGGATCTGCTCTGACTACCAGCTCGGCAGTGTGCTCGTACCCTTGTGGATGCCACGACAATGGACACCCCAACAGTCCCATCATCGAAATTAAAATGTGTTAAACATGTAGGATAAGTGTACTGCAACTGTTTATGTCTGTTTCATTTGGGAAACAGTTTTAACACATGCTCTAGACATCTGGGAAAATATTTGGCAACATGCTTCCTCTCCAGTGATCGTCCTCCACAATCGTACCCAGATGTCTTCGGTTGGCTCTCACGACTCTCGATGGCTTCGTCTTGGAGATTCTGTATGTGTGTAATTTCTGGCAGCGGTCGTTGCCCAGGGTCGGGGGGCCGAGTAACGATGACGCTTGGGCGGGGTGCGGCACGTCGGGGCGGGGGTGCGCTGCGATCGCCAGTGCACGCGCGAGCACCAGCGTGTGTGTGTGTGTGTGTGGTGTGTGTGGTGTGTGTGTGTGTGTCTGTGTGTGTGGTGTGTGTGTGGTGTGTGTGGTGTGTGTACACCACGCGAAATGCTTAAGAAATCATGGGTTAAGAAAGTCATAGTCTCAGACTTTGAATAACAACCCAACGTTTCCATTAAAATCTGAAGATTTACATGGAAACGTTAAGAATCATCGAGACTCTGGCCGAAAACTTAGGTGTTCTTAAGCATCGCCTAAGGTGTATGTGTGTATGTGTGGGGGGGTTCAGCCATGCCCCCATAACTACCTACGATCGTTACAGATACTCGGAGGATCACGTCGTATCCACGCCCGGTTCCCGTCGGAATACGTCGAATTCAAATCGGATTCACGTCGGATTCGCGTCGGGCTTACATCGAAGCCTCGCCGCGCGGATCGACCCATAACTCACGGAGCCGACGCGTGGACCAGATGGTACGACTACGCGCCGCGCGAGGCCTCCTGGAATACCCTCGTGGCTCACCAGTCCGGCGATTTGCTCATACCAGTTCCAGCGGCTTGCTCCTACGAGCTCGGACGGCTCGGCCCTGCCCTCTCCGGAGATCTGCTCTGCAGCGTGCGGCCACCCCGTGGCGTGTCCCTCGACGAGCGGGCAGCAGGCGCAGCACGCCGCCACGGGCGCCTGGCAGGGCCTGCGGGAGCTGCGCGAGACGCTGCGCGAGACGTGCACAGGCCTGCCGCGGTGCTGACTACCTACCAAACCACCCCAACCCAACCCGAAGACCCGAATTTGACCCGAATTTCGGGTTGGGGGGGGTACGGGTTCCATGTGTTTTTTCGACGTTCCCCGACCCCCCCCCACTGGAGATGGAGGGCAAATTGAGGCCTTCGGGTTGGGTTGGGGTGGTCTGGTAGGTGGTGAGGTGCCCCCGCGCGGAGCGTCGCGGAGTGCGCCACTGCGGCGTGCACGACAGCCCCGACACGGACGCCTCCTCCGCCTGCACGGCCGACCCAGGCAGAGGGGGCCGGGAGGGGGCAGGGCAGGAGGGCGCACGGCATGTGGGGGAGCACCGTGGATCGGAAGCGGCCAAGAGGGGGGTGTCCAAGAGGGGGGGGTGCAACTCATGACCGGCGGCACGTGCGCGGCCCAGCGGGGGGACCAGGGACGTAATGAAATATAAGAAGAGGCGCCACGTGAAATCTGAGGAAAAAGCATGGCCCGCGCCATGAAATCCACCCCCCCCCTAGTCATCACCCCCCTCTTTTCCGCTCCCGAGTGGATCACGGCAGGGTCAAGAGGCCTATCGCCGGGGACCAAAGCATGGCATGCAGGTGCACTTTTTCGGGGGTCCGCGCGAATTTCTTGGACCCTCGCTGGAGCCCCCTGGCGTTGTCTCCGGCGCCGCCCCTGGAACGCTCCGCGCGCCAGGGAGGGGGGTCCAGCGCCGATCCAAGGCATCAGCGCAGACCTCCGACAGCGTATGCTCATGCCGTTTTGTTGGCTCCTGTATGGAAGCCTCGAGCCCCGAACCTCGATCATGCGACGATGGCGAATATGACGACGACGACGACGACGGCGGCGGCAGCGGCGACGACGACGACGACGACCGCGACGAGGACGTAAGACTCACGAGCTAAGATGTTGATGTCATCATGTGTCCCTCCAACGTCCGCATCCGCGGCCTCGAGGACCAGACTCCCAGGCCGCGGCCCCATGGTTACGGGGCGGCTTTGCGCGGATGCCCCGCGCGGAACGTGTCCATGGGATCCCGCCCTGGACTCCAGCACGGGAGAGCATGAATATGATATGGACATGTTCGCCACTCGTGAAGAACCCCCTAGAGCCCTAGAGCAAAAAGCCCTTCAAATGAACGCTGCCAGGGGCACTCACACTCCATGGGTAAGCGCTGCACGTATTTCGACTGCACCCAGACAGAACAGCTAATCGACGTCAAAGGCCACCGAATGTATCTGGCAAACCACACGCCGATTATTGAAACCGACGGGGGGCTGCACCAATACACTGCGAATGCCAGTGTTGAGTGAACGGGTGAAGAACTCCTCGACCGACTTGTCTGGGTGAGCAATCTCTCAACGCCTGGCCGAAAGGACGTGGATGGACGAGGAAGCTCACGCCGCCGATGATCGATCTAGATGCCGTTGAACACGCTCTAGAACCGAGATGCATAAACACATGGGCGACAAGAAGAAAAGGGTCTTACGCGAGCCGGAACAGCGACCTTATGTTGGCCGCAATCGCGGCACACTACATTGGAAACGAGGGCGCTTACGCGCAACCTTACGCGGACAGCTTCCGTCGGCGCAGACGACCCCGTTTTCTTGCGTCGTTCCACTGGGCAATCATAGCGTGAGAGCTCATTGGAATCGTCGCAAGGCAACTCTTGGACGACCCGTCGTCGCAAACGTCATGCCTGCTGCGTGCGCTCGTCCTCGCCGTTTTTCACGTCCCCCCAGGTCGTCAGTGCAAAATTCGGCGCCCGCGGTCGCCGCCGTCAATGGCGCCGTCGTCGTCGTCGTCGTCGTCGTCGTCGTCGTCGTCGTCGACTGCATTTGCGTCGCGTCGGTATCAATATGCGGTAGGATCATTGCCATGTACAAACCCCAGTGGATGATCTCCAGACAACGGCTGGACGTGTGATGAGAAACCCTGGACCACTCAACCTGAAGTGGGCAAATTTCACATAATAAAAACGGCCAAATGAATCCAATGAGCTCACAAGCAATGATTGAGAGTGTGTTACTCTGCCTGGCTCTAGGCTGCGGGGCGCGAAACTAATGATGACATGCTTGCGTGTGCACCTGGCTGCAGCAACTCCTGCGAGGATACATTCGCCAGCGTTCGATGCACGACTCGGCAACGATGCCACCCCTCAAGCTTTTTGGGGCGCCATCGTCCCAAAGCCCCACATCTGAGTACGTCGCCGCCGTCGTCGACCGCGGTGCGCGCGCAAGCGCGATCTTTTGCTCGCGGGCCGCCGCCGCCACAGTCTCGGGCGTCAGGGGCCCGCACTCCAGCGCCGCGATCAGCAGCCGACGCGCCGCTCCCGCGTCGTCGCCTCGATCGGAAAGGGGCGAAGAGGAATGAGAGGGCTCCTTTCTCCGCCACCGTGTCCCCTGCCACGTTAAGGCGTGGAAGCAAGCCAAGTGTTGTTTTGTTCCCATCGTACGACGTAAGGACCACATCCCAGCAAGAATTTCGAGCACCCAGAAGAATAACTATCGCAACAGTGCATGTCCGGCACGCTGGCCATCGCTTCCCAGGGCCCGACACGTGAAAACTCTCAAGCTTCGGTACCCTCCTGGTGCTGAAAAATTCTCTTTCCGGCAAGCAAGGCTGAAGCAGGCTGGAGCATCATAAGCCGAGTACTGTCTAGCAAGCTTCCAGTACCCATCGGTCGGAATAAGTAGGTAGAAACACAATGTAGGACGGCGGATCAAGTACATTGGGCCCGGGCCCGCCCAGAGAGAGAGAGTAATAAGACGCAGCAGGAGCAGATCGATCATTGAAGTGAGAAGGCGCTTGAAGTAGATTTGATTCTGGACATCAAGAAAATACCTACACCCTGCGAAATGCTGAAGAAATCCGCCGACCCCTTGGGGTTCATCGGCGTGTGAGATGTTCCCCCTCCCCAAACCCCTCCCCCGGGAGCCCGGTCCGGTCCATTTGGAGGGGGGGGGGGGGGTCCGGCCGGACGGGCCGGACGGGCCGGAACCCCCCCGAGGTCTCATCCGCTCCCGAAAAACGTGGAAAAACACGTGAAATTCGTGTACGGACGCTTCTGGTGGCCTCGAAATGGGTTTGGGACGCCCCACGAGCGCTCCAAGACGTCCAAGTTTGCCCGAAGACGGGCCACGAGGCGTCCTCGACGGTAGAAGAGGTCCCCACGAGCTCCCCCGAGGGCCTCCGAGATGCGTTCCACAAGGGTCCCTAGACGCCAAAATTGGGCCATTCCCTTCGTGAAATGTACATTTAAAAAAATTCAGCTTTGGATCTTTCCGATGCTCCCCGACGGCCCAAGAGGCTCCCAAACCCGCTCCCAGACGGCCCCAGAAGCCTCGCAGAGGGTCCCCCACAGACCCCTAGAGGGCCCAAGATGGGCCAACAGGCGTCCAAGACGGCCCAAGAGGGCTCCGAAAACGGCCCCAAAAGCGTTCCAGGAGCGCTCCGAGCTGCCTCCCCGAAGCTCCACATGGTCCCAGACGGTCCAAGAGCGATCAGAAAACATCGACGACGACCTCCGGACGGCTCACGAGGCCTCCCCAGACGCCCCCACAGGCATCCAAGATTCCCCCCAAGAGGCCCTCTAGACGCAAAAAATCGTTTGTTTCTTTCGTAAAACGTATTTTTTTCACACGTGCGCTTTTGCGGGTGACGAAAAACGTGGAAAAACACGTGAATTTCGTGTAGGGACGCGTCTGGTGGCTTCGAAATGGATTTGGGACGCCCCACGAGCGCTCCAAGACGTCCAAATTTGCCCGAAGACAGGCCACGAGGCGTCCTCGACGGCAGAAGAGGTCCCCACGAGCTCCCCCGAGGGCCTCCGAGATGCGTTCCACAAGGGTCCCTAGACGCCAAAATTGGGCCATTCCCATTGTGAAATGTACATTTTAAAAAATTCAGCTTTGGATCTTTCCGATGCTCCCCGACGGCCCAAGAGGCTCCCAAACCCGCTCCCAGACGGCCCCAGAAGCCTCGCAGAGGGTCCCCCACAGACCCCTAGAGGGCCCAAGATGGGCCAACAGGCGTCCAAGACGGCCCAAGAGGGCTCCGAAAACGGCCCCAAGAGCGTTCCAGGAGCGCTCCGAGTTGCCTCCCCGAAGCTCCACATGGTCCCAGACGGTCCAAGAGCGATCAGAAACATCGACGACGACCTCCCGACGGCTCACGAGGCCTCCCCAGACGCCCCCACAGGCATCCAAGATTCCCCCCAAGAGGCCCTCTAGACGCAAAAAATCGTTTGTTTCCATCGTAAAACGTATATTGTTTCACGCGTGCGCCTTTGAGGGTGACCCCCGCTCCTGCACGGCCCCAGAACCCCCCAAACCCGCTCCCAGACGGTCCAAGACGCCTCCAAGAGGGTCCGTACATAGCCCTCGAGGGCCGCAAAACGCGCCAACACACGTCCAAGACGGCCCAGAAGGGCTCCGAAAACGGCTCCGAGAGCGCTCCAGGAGCGGTCCGAGTGGCCTCGAAGAGAGCTCCACATGGTCCTCGACCGTCCAAGGGCGATCAAAAACGCTGACGACGGCCTCCAAACGGCTGAAGAGGCCCCCAAGACGCCCCAAGAGGCATCCACGATGCGCCCACAGAGGGCCTCTAGACGCAAAAAATCCATCGTTTCCTTCGTCAAACGTATATTGTTTCACAAGTGCGCCTTTTGGGGTGTCCCCCGCTCCTGGACGGCCCCAGAGCCACCCAAACCCGCTCCCAGACGGCCCAAGACGCCCCCAAGAGGGTTCCCACAGAGCCCTCGAGGGCCCCAAGACGCGCAAACACACGTCCAAGACGGCCCAAAAGGGCTCCGAAAACGGCTCCGAGAGCGCTCCAGGAGCGGTCCGAGCGGCCTCGACGAGAGCTCCACATGGTCCTCGACGGTCCAAGAGCGATCCAAAACGCTGACGACGGCCTCCCGACGGCTGCAGAGGCCCCCCAAGACGCCCCACGAGGCTTTCACTATGCGCCCCTGGAGGGCCTCTCGCTGTATAAAATCGCCCGTTCTCTTCGTAAAACGTGTATTTTTCGTACGTGCGCCTTCTGGGGCGCTCCGGGGCGGCCCGAGAGCCTCCCAAGACCGCACCAAGACGGTCCAAGAAGCCTCCACGAGGGCCCCGCGACAGGAGAAGGAGGGGGGGGGAGGAGGAGCAGGAGGAGGAGAAGGAGGAGGAGGAAGAGGACAAGGAGGGGGAGGAAGAGGAGGAGAAGGCCGGGAAGGGAAGGGGGATAAGGAGGAGGAGAAGGCGGGGGAGGAGGAGGAGGAGGAGGAGGAGGAGGAGGAGGAGGAGGAGGAGGAGGAGGAGGGGACGAAGGGCGGGAGGAGGAACAGCAGGAGAAGGACAAGAAGGAGGAGGAGAAGAAGGCGGGGAAGGGAAGGGAAGAAGGACGTGGACGAGGAGGAGGAGGAGGAAGGGCAGGAGAAGGAAGAGGAGGAGAGGCAGAAAGAGGAGCAGGAGGGAGGAGCAGGGGGAGGAGGAGAGGAGGAGAGGGAGCCGATCATCGTCATCAGTGTCGTGATCATCAACGACGTCATTGCCATCGACAAGGTCAGCCCAAACATCTCCGAACATTAACAGTTAGCGGGACATCCCGCTTGGAAACCGCCGACAACCGTAAGATGTCTCCGGGGTGTAACATACTTCCCTGGCTCCGGCACCCGTACAAGGCCCCAAACACAACCCAAAAAACCTCCCTGTGCCGTCTTGGGGTTCGCTTGGGCCGTCTGGAAGCCCTCTGGGCCAGTTTGCGACCCATGTCGGCTCCCCTTCTCGCTGTGACGGGCCCTGAACAACCTCATTTTCCCACGGTTTGCAAGGAAGCTGTGGTGAACGATCCCGGGGAAAATCCAAGGGGTCGGCGGATGTGGCGGAAGCCTGAAGAATCATGGGTTAAGAAATTCATAGTCTCAGAACTTGAATAAAAACCCAACATTTCCATTAAAAACTTAGGATTTACATTGAAACGTCAAGAATAATCGAGACTCTGGCCGAAAACTTAAGTTTTCTTAAGCATCGCCCAAGGTATACGCTCCTCCCACTCTCGGAGTGTCGTCTCGCGTGCATGCCCCCCCGCCTCCCGAGGCTCCCTGGGCGCCTCGACGGCTCCCGGGCGCTCCCCGAGGCCTCCAAGATAGGCCCCACGATGGGCTCCAGGACGGCGCAGGCAAGCCTCCGAGACCACCACGAGGGCCCAAGACTGCCTCAAGAGAGCAAGACAACTCCGAGACTGCCCAAGATGGCCCCTGGACTGCCCACGAGGCCCTCAAGACGGCACCGGAGGGCTCGAAGCGAACCTCCAGCACGGCCCGGAGAGACCAAACGTATTGGTATCAGTGGCTTTTCAGTGGAGTTCCGCATTCTCACCTTTTCCAATTTGCGCGAACTCAAGACGGCCTGAGAAGCTTTCACGATGGCCTCAAGCCTGTCGGGGCCTCAAGAGGACTCCAAGTCGGAACAAGGTGGCCCTCAGACGACCCTCGGGCTCCCCAAGAAGGCCCCAAGACGACCCAGAGAGCACCAAAAGATGGATTCCGAAAGCGCCCGGACTGCGCAAGGAGCCCATGAGAGCCTCCGAGGCGTCCCCTAGACGCTGTCCAGCAGTCCAAAGAGGCCCCCGAAGGTCACCCAACAACCCCGAAAGACCTTCGAGTGGCCCGAAGTGTCACACGTGACGGCCTCCCGTGCTTCCTCGAACAAACACCATCCAGAATGCTGGGCTGGCACTGTGGCGGGACTTGCCGCGCACAACTGGATAGCATGACCCTTGGCAAGCCGCACGAGACCCACGGAAGCATGCAAGGGTGAGGTTTGATCCCGCCGGGGCTTGAGCAAGCGACAAGCTAAGCCCAACTGACAAATGGCACCGCCGCGTACGGAAGGCGCTTTGACCAAAGGTCGACAAATGGTCAGTGGGACCAAAATGTCGCAAGGACAACTACATGATCGGCACCGTGCCCCATTGCCAGATCGGAGCACCTGGCGTGCTGCGTAGGATATGTCCCGCGGTTCTCGGGGGCCGAGATGGAGAGGACGGTGTCGCTAGACGTCTCCAGGGAGCGACAAACCGCAGCTTCGTGCAGTGAGCAGTCCCACCAGCCCTCTGGGCGTAGGTGGTCTAGAGCAGATCCTCTTCCACCCCTCCCTCTTCCCCCTTGGGGAGGGGTTTACCCCTCCCCCTACCCCCTCCCCTGGACCTGGACGGGGGGGGCCGCGGGTAGTTAGAGCGTCCAAGATGGCCCAAGACGGCTCCAAGAGCGCCTCAGAGAACCCAAGATGAGCTCCAAGATGGCTCAAGATAGCGCAAGATCGCTCACGATGGCTCCTAAGATGGTTCCAAGAAGCC